TCAAAATAAAAAGTTAAAATAGTTCACAGATAGTTTTAAGTTAGCAGTCAATAAATTCCCCAGTATGTACTTGTCTTGGTACATTTTTACTTTCACGATTTTCTTCATTTAGTAGCTGAGCATTCACAACTACTCACATTAGAAATTCAGTGTCTTCCAGTATAATAAATTTGTTATGAACATGTTTGCATGAAAGATGCTAGTATTTTTTATTTGGACAAACCAACTTTGTATGTAAAAGTCAAAGGCGGTTTCAGGGTGTTAGAGGTCACAGAGACTGTGGTGTGCTGGGGCACTGCTGTTCGGCTCTCTCGTCTCTCCTTGATCATAACCACTTCCGCAGGGCTTCCTGGCTCCTTGTTAGAGATTAAGGTCTGACTTTCTCTTTACTTTGGTCTTGATCATGCGACTTGCTTTTGGCTAACAGGATGTTAGCAGATGGGATGCAGCAGTTTGACAACTGGATATATCCAGAGACCCAGAGTATTTCCAGAGCCTTTGCCTAGGTTTAGAGGTACATCCTCTTCTCCATGAAGAAGCTGTTCCTTTAGGGAGGCCTTGGATCTTGAAATGGAAATTCTTCAGAACTGTCTTTTCTGGAATCTTCTCAAGAAACTTTTAAGGAAGAGACATGAAGTTCATAAGACACAAAAGTTAATTTGCAAGTGAGCCAGTGAGAGGCCAGTGAGCCCCATAAGGGACTCCAGGTACAGGGCAGACCCTATGAAAGATATACCCAGCTCCACCTAGAGGTGAGAGAAAGGGTACTGGGGGAAGGTGGGGCAACCAGGCTCCAATAAAGCTAAGGATGTGGGTTGGTCCAGATTAGGAGTTCCCATCCCTCCTTTCCTCCAGAGGACCCACTGTTGTCCCTACCTGCAGAGTTCTTCCCCCTGACCCGTCCCTGATTGGCTCCTGCCCAAAGAATACCTTTCCAGAGAACAGTCTGCTTACTGATGTATTTCGCTGATTTATTTTCAATGTATCTGAAATGTACGGGCAGGTGTATTCACCACTTGTTCCTTTCTTTCTTCCCTCCTCTCCCCCATCTTCTGGTTTCTTTGGTGTGCTGGATACTGAACCAAGGCCTTGTGCATACCTCGATTGCCCTCTACCACTGAGCCACACTGCTAGGCCCTATCTTCTTCTTACATGCTGTTTAGTTTTTATTTACTACTCTAGCAGGTAAGCATTCAGAGGACAGGGTTAGCTCTACCATCTGCCCTGGAAGAGCACCCAGCAAAGACAAGCAGAAGACAACATGGTGAGGAATTTAGACTACCCCATTGGCATAAACAACGATTTGGGGACTTTAAGAAGAGATGTATAAGGCCCAAGGAGAGGCACTCAGGCTGCTGTCTAGGAAGCTGACTGGGAGGTCTGCAGAACTGGGTGGAAGGAGACTGGCAACCCAGAGGGTGACAGGGGTGGCTCGAATTTGGGCCGTGGCAATGCAGATGAAAGAAAATTGGCATGTCCTAAAACTGTTTTGGAGTGAATACTTGGTTTGGAATCTGAGAAAGCTGGCAAGGGTGTCCTGGTAAACTCTTAATTAGTAAACTTTCAGGAAGAACAAAAAGCCCCAATTTGTATCATTTGTCAGGTTCTCATGGAACAAATACTGGCACCAGGACCAACTTCAAGATGCAGTATGACATCATAGAATGTGGAGCTGAGGAGTTTCTGGAGAAATCCACCCAATTTCCTTTTTTTTTTTCAAGCAAGGGTCTTGCTATGTAGCCCAGGCTAGCCTTGAGCTCACAGCCCTTACTGTCTGAGGCTCCCACATCCATCAACCACTGGGGTCACAGGTGAGTGTCGATTAGCAGGCTTTACTCAAAAGTGTGTGTGCACTTGTGCACTATTCTCAGGAACACATTCAAAGAGTGGATGATATGATGTATGTGTGCCATCCTGTGCTTAAGTGTCAATATTTTGTGGAAATTGTTCTCGTCTTAAGCACATGCCAATAAGGAATCTCGGACTGGAAATGCAGTTCAGTCATGGCACACTTGCTTGGCTTGTGCGAAGCCCCTATTTGATCTGCATCAAGGAAAAAGCCTTCCTGTTAATCTTCAAGATGTTTTGGGGGCAACAAGAGAATCGGCTATTGGAGGCAGAAGCTGGAGTTAGCTAGCAGTGCCTGGCTGGAGACAATGACAGAGTATGGCATGTCCTGGCGGCCAAAGGAATGGGAGTGGTGCTTGGTCTTATGGCAGCTCGATATGCCACACTTTTCTGATGTCCATGGGAGGCCTGCCCCTTTCTAAATGGATAGAGGAGGGGTGGGTGGGGAGGGAGCAGAGGGAAGGTGGGGAGAAGGAGCAGGAGGAGAGGAGGGAGGTGAGGCTTCAGTCAGGACAAATAAATTAATATAAAAAAGAGAATGGAATGGGGAGCCAGTGGCCTTTGAGGGTAGCCTGGTCTACATAGTGAGACAGGAGAGTGGGAAAGGGTAATGTTGGTAAGGGAAATGCTTGGCTAGCAGAGAAGCTCGCCCAGGAACCATCAGCTTGAGTTTAGCCAGACAAGGGTTGCAGACTTCTCATGGAACTCAGTTCTTCTAGCGGCCTCTATGAACTCAGCCTTTGGGATGCTCTCAGCCTATTACAGTGGCATACTTTGTGTTAGGAAGGTGTCCAGCCAGAAGGATAAAAGCTGTCTGTGGGGACTGCTTCCAGTCATCAGTTAGATACAAATTCTAAGTGGGACATTTGGTTCTCAGTCATGACCTATTGAAGTAACAGCTCCCTCCCCTCAGGAAAAAACAAAACAAAACAAAACTCAATAACGCAGGGCTTTCAGTCATAAACTCGTCACCACACCATTTCCTTTCCCTTTTGATGGGAACAGTGAGGGAAGTAATTTCTCAGGTTTCCTATGTTAAACAGGCACACATCAGGCAGAGCTACAACCGGCAGGTGCCCCTGTGGCTGAAACAGTATGCTTATGCACTCCCATCGATTGGGTCATGACTTAGCATATGTCATACATCTTGCCTGCCAGTCTGTTGGTTTCAGGTTAAATAAATGGCACAGAGACAACTGTCAGCAAACAGATTACTATTTTCTAAATATGTGCTCAATAAGAAATGTATTTTTATTTTTAAACTGATCATATTTTGATGTTATTAGGTAGGTTAGTCCTACAGCTTTTATATTTTAGTGTGTTATGTACCATTTTTCTCATTTGTAACTACATCATTTGTATTTGGGTAATACTAGCTTGCATGTCTGTGTGTTTATATCTAGCGAGTTCATTGTCATACAGGTATATCTTTTTACTCTTTAGTGTGTCTGAGTGTGAAGACCATAGATCAAATCAATAATCTACTGACTCTTTGCTATGTGTCAAATAGCCAGTGACTAGCAAGAGTGAATTATAGCCAGTGTCTAGCAAGAGTGAGCTAACTACACAACCTTCTGGTGGCTCTAACTTCTTTTTACCAAATTCTATTATTGACATTCTCTGTGGGTACAGGCAAAGTCATATCTTTTTTCTTAACCTCAATTTCTTCTGCTAAGGTAGGATCACAGGAATGTAGTCATCAATTACATTAAGCTCTAACCTGGAGGCTGTAATTTGCTGTGGGACTTTAAGATATTTCTAATTCATTATAATTAGTACTAAAGTGCATGTGAGTAATCTAAGAATTACTGCTCAGGGGAAACATTAAGACATATAGGAAAATTGATCAGCAAATAATGAGTAACTAAATATTTGGACCTGATTTTATATACTATTCCAGCCCCTTGCCAATCAACCTAAAGTCATGACAAAATGTCATTAGGTAATATTGCCACAAGTATATAAGAAATTACTCACCATCAACTCGATTTGCTTTCTGAGAGTTTATTAACTTTTGGAGTTTTCGATGCAGAAGCCTTTATAGTATTGCTAAGACATCACTCTGTAAAGCCATTAAAGATACTCTCTAAATTAAATACTTTCTTGGAGTTCCTATGTCAAATAGCCAATGACTAGCAAGAGTAACTCTAAGTTGTACCTCCCCCAAGAATGCTGGAAAAGGGTGTATCTTCCTTGCATTCAAAGTCTACCTTAGGTAAACAAAACTGTTCTAAATTTAATGAATTCCAAATCTTCCAGGTGGGTCCTTACAAAGACAGGGAAGATGATGCCATTAGATCATTAGAATGTGTAATTTTTATTGCTCATGATTTCCGAGTAGCCTGGGAAAGCATCTTTTTTTCTCATAATCTTTAGAGACTTGGAGGTAGAAAATATTTTACAGAAATCCATAGTCCCACCCGTAATATTATACCCTTGATCTCGGAAAAGAGATCCCATCCAAATTTCGTGGACCTGGATCTGTTGCTGTAGAATTCTCAGGGCAGGTTGTCATTTACCGTGTTTGAGAGTAGACCACAAGATATACAACAAACTCACTCTAAGAGTTCTATTAGTAAAGTGTGGAGAAAGGGAAGAAGGGGGAATGTGCAGGCCTGTCTAGAAGAAATGTGTACAGGGCAGAGAGTGGGGCAGCCTGTCTGCTTTTAAAGGTTGCTCAGCGCAAGCATATGGAGGCAACTGCAGGCGCATAGAGTACCTAGCCATGCTGCGCATGTGCATAGGTTACATAAGACCGTGGCATGACTAGGCATTTTGCCTGAATGCTGATAGTCACCTGTGCAGCCTGGGTCCCTGGACGTGCTAAAAATGGTAACATTGGTGTTTTGCAAATGCTTTTAGAAGCAGATCACATAGGTCTCCCCAAAAGTATCTAAAGAGTGACATAGATCAACACCCCCACAATCCCTCAGCAGCTGAGGCAGAAGACTCAAGTCAGATCAACATGGACGGCACGGAAAGACCCTGTCTTTAAATAAAGGGGATATGACCATCAGAGCTGTCTTTTCCCAACTCTAAGCATCTGTCTTTACTTTTACCCATCATCCATCAAATGTCACTGGTGATCCAGGACACATCTGAACCCACGCGGCCAGCAACCACTATTGCATTTTACGACATGGGCAAGCAAAATGGTTTCCTGCCCTCATGAGTTTGCACTCCAGAAGGAGAGACAAGGAATTAAGGAAATAAGCAAATTGTTAAATGTGCTTACAAATCACAGTAAGAACGATGAAGAGGACCAAGTAATGAGGCAGCCCCAGTAGAGGCAAATTTACAATCAGAGGTCAGGACAAAGCTTTGTGGTCTCTTTATGTAAATGAAGTGTGAGGAGAAGACACCCAGCAGAGCAGCAGGGAGAATAGGTAGGAAAGCTTCTGGGCACAAGCGGGTTTGGTGCCCCAGAGGACTGAGAGCCAGCTAGAAGGGTGGGAGAACATTGATACAATCAGGAGGGAATGTCAAACTACAGAGGAGACAGACAAGAGCCAGAGCATCCAGGGCCCTCAAAGCTTAGTTTTCATGGCTCTTTGGTGTAAGCCCAAAGGTCCGCAAGGTGTTGCAGCTGCTCTGTCTTCGTCAGATCTTCAATGGCACCTTTGTTAAGCTCAACAAGGCTTCGATTAACATGCTGAGGATCGTGGAACCATACATTGCATGGGGGTACTCCAACCTGAAGTCAGTAAAGGAGCTCATCTACAAGCATGGCTATGGCAAAATCAATAAGAAGAGAATTGCCTTGACGGACAATTCCTTGATTGCAGGGTCTCTTGGTAAATACCGCATTATCTGCATGGAGGATCTGATCCATGAGATCTACACAGTGGGGAAATGCTTCAAGGAAGCCAACAACTTCCTGTGGCCCTTCAAACTGTCTTCTCCACGGGGCGGGATGAAGAAAAAGACCACTCACTTTGTGGAAGGTGGCGATGCTGGCAACAGGGAAGACCAGATAAACAGGCTTATTAGACGGATGAACTAAGGTGCCTGTGGTATTTTTGTAATCTAGTCAGTTAATAAACAGTCACAGCTTGGCAAACTTAAAAAAAAAAAGCTTAGTTTTATCTGGAAAACACTTAGAAATCCTCATCAATTAAGGGTTGGGGAGAGGGGAGAGGGACAGAGGTGATGGGATCACTTTGTGTTCTTAAAAGATGACTTGCAACAACAGCTAAGTGCCAAAATGATTATAATGGAATGAGTTTGTAATTTGGAAGACAACAGGAGGCTGTGGCAATATCTGGGTGAGACATGAGGTTGTTTTGGACTTGGATTATTGCAGTGTATAGAAAAAAGTAGCTCAGCACATGTATATAGTGGTACATGTCCATGAACCCCTCCTGCCCTCAGGGGGTAAAGACAGGTAGACTAAAAGTCTTGCTGAACTGCATAGAAATAACCTATCTAAAGGAAAAAACAAAAACAAAACAAAACAAACAAACAAACAAAAAAAGCAAAGAAAAATGCAGATGGTTGTCCGAATGTTTTAGAAGTCGGGCTGGTTGAAGGCAGTAATGCAGGCTGTAGAGGTGGCTTGGTAGTTAAGAGCATTGACTGCTCTTTCAGAGAACCTGGGCTTAATTCTCAGCACCCACATGGAGTTCTCGGGGAGCTGGCACCCTCTCACACATGTACACACAGGCAAAACAATACACATAAAATAAAAATAAATGAATCTTTTTTTTTAAAGGAGTTAGTGATGCATCAGGTAAGTACGGGGAAAATGAAGGAACTGGGTGGTAGCTCGAAGTTACAGCACCGGTATTGTTACCTCACTGTGCCAACTTGTGGTAAATCCCCCACACATGTATTGCTTTGTCCTGGAAATGCCTATGACATCTCCAAGAGAGCCGAATAAGAGGTTCATCCATCTCTCCATGTCCTAAGCATGATCCTGCATCAATACAGAAAGATGGAGGGACATGACCCTGCATTAATGACAAAGTATTGATCACCATCAGCTTCCTTTGGTGAATCCACACCCTCGCCCCCCCCCAGAGCTCTCCACACGTCTTCGAAATAGCTACTGATTCCCTCGATAAGACCTCTGAGAGCCAACGCCATACACGGTGAATGGGAGAAAGACTTCTGCACGACTGGTGGTCTCCGAGCAGCCCCCTCCAATGCCCAGTCGGTTTTAACTGAAGCAAAAGTTCATGTGTCACCAGCCTTCATTGTATACCCAAGTGCACCTTGTTTTCCCCTCCGAACGGTCCAAACGAACTAAGTCTCTGCTCAGTACCCTGGGCAGCTTTCCAGAGCCGCACAGGCTTCAGTACAAGAAGCATCACAGAGCTACTTTGAGGGAAAGTTGGGAAAGCTAAAAACTATAGAATTCACTGCAAAAAAGGAGTAAACGTCAACAAAATAAAACCCTCATAAAATCACAAGAAAGGATGTTTTATTTAATTTTTTAGGTTTTTGGATAAGTGTATGTGGCATGCTGAACAAACCTCATCTATGCCTTCCTTTCTGTTTCTCTCCTTCCTTCCCTATCACCCCCTTTGTTCCTTGACAGTGTTGCATGTATTTATGTGTATAACATGCTATATACACACACAAATGATTTTATCTATCTATATAAAATCTAGGGACCACAAAAGAGAAAAAGAATATATCTTTTTAAAAAATGACTTAATTTTTCTCTTTTGGATGGTAAAATATCCGTTGTGTGTATATAATTCATCCAGAGGAAATGAGGACATTTGAAGCAGCCTCTTCAGGACAGCTTTGGAGTGTATCAGTGGGCTGCCACACCCTTCTTCAGCTTCAGTATAGATGGACCAGGAGACAGAATTAGCAGCTACACTTTGACTTTTATGCCGGAGTCATATCCCCAGTCCTAAAATTGGTTGGATAGCACAGTGCCAGTCTTCAACTCAGTCAAGTCTCTGATTCACAAATATACCTAGATTTCTGCCAAAGAAGGGCAGAGCCTAATTTACCCCTTTGAAGTGACCTACTCCCCCACATAAAGGACCAAAATGGGAATTGTCAACTTCAGCTTTTGGTTACACCAATGATATTCAAAGAGTGAGCAATACACTTTGGAAATGGGGATGACAAACCTGGTTTCAACCCAGTGATATGTCCTCACCATGCACAGTTCTTGAGAAACTTCCCACAAGGAATGATATGTGCTGTGATCAGAAAAATTACTGTTAGACATAACAATCTGTTTGCAACCGCCGATCAGCAAAGCCAAGGTAATGTTGAGGTTAGCCCTCCCCAAATTTCCCACAGTGTTCTCATCTTCTAAACCTTAAAACCTGTCCTTTGGTTATATAATTTTTCTTGAAGAAATACAAAGGTGTAATTCCTGTAACCCTTCCTCATCTCTGCAGTCCATTTCCCAACAGCTAGTTTACTCTTTTCCTCATTTGTGCATTACTTAACAGTTAGGGGCTAGAGATACAGAGAGGAATACAAGGACAGTCAACAACAGAAACATGAACAAGAGGTGATAAAAATTACTAGAAGAAAACATGATCAAATTTTTCTGAGACTGTCAAGATGGGCAAAGCTTTTGTTGTATAACTGATGATGGCTAGAACTGGCATCACAATTGTAAAATGACAGAGGGATGACAGCTCTGAGAAAAAGTAAAGTAGCAATGGCACTGAGGAGAACAAAAGAGATGAATGACATCTGGTGAAAGATGAATGACAAATAGAAAAACTCCATTTTTGATTCATGTGTCAGACAATGCGGCTATTGCCCAATATAAAGGCACCAGTACAGGTGGCTGGAGCAGCGGTATTCCCATCAGTGGCTCACAACCTCTGAAACTCCGGCTCCGGGGGATCTGACACCATCTTCTGGCTTCTGCTATCACCTGCACACACATAGGTACATGTAGACAAAGGTACACACATACACATAATTTAAAGTGATAAAAACAAACCCCTTAAAAAAAACTAACACAAAGCAGTAAAACAAAAAGGGGAAATGGTCAGAACTCTTAAACAACAAAAAGTCAGCTTTGAAATACTCAACCTCTGGGAATGGTGGTTCGTACCTGTACCTAGAACCCTACCACTCAAAATGGGGCTAAGATGGAGGGTTCTCAAACTTGAGGCTACCTTGAGCTATCCAGAGTTTAAAGCCAGTTGATGTGTGCTACAGAGTGGAACCCTGTCTCTAACAAACCAACAAAGTAAATAAATTAATTATAAATAAAATGGATCCACATTATTTAAGATACAACTTAGTATAAAAATTCAGTGTTGTTTTAAATATTGGAAAATAATGGGTTTTAAATGTGTAAGAATAAAGCAGCGTTGGGAAGGAAGGGTAGAAAATGATGGGCGAGCAAGGGTGAGGAAATGATGGTGTCCTGCTTCAAGTAGTCATGATTAATCTTAGAGACGGGAGGTCCATGGAGAATTATTAAAGAGGAAGCAAAGAAAGGTGAAATCAGGCAAAGAGGCTCCTGGATTGCCTCATTCTGATGCATGTTCTCACGTTACACCTGGCTGGCAGCCTCTTTGCTGGCTCTCTAGTCATTCAAGCACGTTTGCAGCATGTGTCCAATTGAATAGAGGGCCAACATGATGTAGATGCCAAATACTGGCCGAATTACAGACAAGAGAAGAGTCACTGAGCAGGCCCAAGGCTGAAAGAACTCTTTACTGGGTCCTTTGGTTAGGATACAATAAGACAAACTCAATCTATTTAAGAAAAAGCTAGTTCTCATCCATCAGGATGACCATTAAGCATGTGATTTGACGTATCCATGGTGTCTAGCTACATACAGGTGTAATCAGCGGAATACTAAGGGTCAGTGAGGATGTGGATAAATTGGATGGATCTCCAGTGTACTGCTGGTGAGATAGGGGTGAAAACTATATCAATTTATTTCCATATTATCCCTTGGTTTCACTTCTGGTACCATCTAACAGGACTGAGAAAGGGTTTTAAGTAGGTATAACATACATCTCTTTCCATAGAAACTTTAGTCACAGTGACCAAAAGATGGAATTAACTCAACTGTCCACTGGTGGATGAATAATGGCTAAATAAAACATGGCAATAATGAAACATTATTTGGCTTTGAAAACAGTGTTCTGGCACCTGCTATGACGTGAATGAACCACGAAGACATTATGCTAAGTGAAATAAGCCAGTCATAAAAGGATGAATGTTCTGATTCTGTTTGTATGAGTTCCCTACAGGAGTCCTAGGGACAGAAAACACAACAATGACTGTCCTATTCTTGGACACCAAGAACAGAGATCTTTCAACGATACAGTCAGTTTCAGGAGGTAAGGCCTCCTGGAGACCTGGAAGACAATTACACAACAACATGAATATATCTAATATCTTGGGAAAATGAATAAAATGGCAATTTGGTATTTTTACAGTATTAATATATTTTGCCATATTATTAAAATTACAAAAAATGAAGAGAATAGAAGTGAATGGTGTAAAAGAGATTGTTTACATGTCCCTTGTAGGCCCTACATGTTATGATCTTCAAGGTGGCAAGTGATGGCTTGCTTTCTAGAGAGGTATTGATAAGGTGAGGGAAGAAGGGTGTGTGAGATTCTTACCCTTTCTATGGAGTGACCTTGCTCTAGAAATGTGTCACACATATTACATGGCAAAACCCCCACTTTTATGTACTTAAAATTGATCACAACCTCCAAGGCCACTACGATGCCCATCACCTTTGCTCTAACAAAAATCTCTCCTTCCCTCATCATTGGAGGGAGCGGAGGAGGTTTTCATACCTTTGTTTCTTTGTTTCTTTCCCCCCTCTTTCATTTGCCAACAAAAGAGTTGTCAAAAGTAATGTTTATAATAATTTAACGGATTATTTGCTTATTAGGTATTAATCATCCTGCTGTGCCCAGGGCCCATGCTGGTGTTCTGCTGCTAGAACAGCGATTCTGATCTCAATTAGATTATGTCTCTCTCCTTTACCTCCCCATAAATCATTCCGGCAAACTGAAATTAACAGCTACTGGAGCGCATTAATAATCTGCCTCACACATTGGAAAATGCA